TTACATCGCTCGTATATAGTTCGTGCACGTGAATCAAATTGTACTACTCTGAATAGATCATCACCACCTTGATCATTTTCTCTTGTGTTCAAAAAATTCCAATAGGCTTTTTGTAAACTACTCCATTGACCCAGACTCATCAAGAACAAAATGAAGTGAGTTCGATAATTGTTATTGTTTTGTTTTGTCAAATAGTTCGGTAACACTAAGAGTTCGTCCTTCAATAGCTTGATATTGTTGTTTGAATGCATCTTCCATTTTTTTCGTATATTCTGATTTAATACAACAAAACATTAAATCAATTTCTTTATCTTTTTCTGATAATCGTTTAAATATTTTATCCACAGTTAATCCAGTACCATTTTTATATCTGTCATTTTCATCATCATTTAAATCTTGTCCATGTCCAGGTGCATCTGTAATCAATACAATAAATCGTGCATTCGATACACTCCAATTTGGTAATGTCAAACATTTATCCAAAGCACCGAGAACATCTTCTGGACAATCATTACCACCTTTTGCTTGTAATTTGTCTAAAAACCTGATAATTTGATCTTCGTCATGTGTAAAATTCAATGTTTCATATTGTGGATTATCTGTAATATCACGATAGCCAATAATAGCAAAATTTAATTTCAATTTTAATGACGAATATTTTTCATATAATTTGTCTTTTTGTCTCTGTTATTATAACTTTCATTTGTATTTTCGTTTGAGATAACCATCTTGACATACTACCAGTAATATCCAAACAAAAATAAATATCAACCACTATATTCGACGGTGGACTACCTGTACTAGTTAAAAAGTGTTCACGTTCACCATTCAATTTTTGAATGAATTTACCAAATGCTTTTTGATGCTTAGGATCATTGATTATACTTTCAACTTCTGTTGTTACAGTTTGTGTTGTAAAATCTTCTGATTGTTTTAACCAATCAATTGATTTAAATTGTGGTTCATTTTCACATAGACTTCGTAATGCTTTGGGTACATTATATGCTCCAGCACATTGAATATATCGTGCATATGATGATTGTAAATTTGTACGATCAATACCGACACCTAATGCAATAAGATCAATACCAAGATCTTCTGCACGTTGTTGTACCATTGGTAATAGATCAGTACAATTTCCATAACCATCAGTTGAAATAAATATTTTTCTTTCACCCCTTGTTGCACAATTTGTTAATAAATCAATAGCAACTTCTGAACCAAATGCATCTTTTGAATCATTTTCTTGATCAAATTTGATCTGTTGTAATAATGTGTAGATAACATAAATATCAAATGTTTGTTCATGTGTTTTAATAATTGTTACTTTCTTTCCAAATAGAACAATACTATAATTATCAAGACCTAATTTTTTCAGTGCACCAATAAATATAATTAATGTTTCAAATAAACATTCACCCATATTTCCAAACATTGATACAGATATATCAAGTACTAAGCAAAGTGCATGATCACGTTTTCCACCGGCTAATTCTGAACTAAATATTTTCTTATAACTCCATTCACTTGTCATAGCTTTTATTAAACCAGGTAAATAGAGTGATGAACCACGTAAAGCTGCTCGACGGCGTGTAAATTTATTAAAAGCAAATACAACATCACTAGACACCGACATGAGATCATCAATTGAATTTGATAATCGAGTCTCTTCTGTATGCCATAATTCTTCAGCGTGTGTTATATGAGTTTGTATGTCACTAGTTGTGCTTAGTTCTTGATAATATTTACGTAATTCACCTGCTGCTAGTGATAAATTTGTATATGAATTGTTTCGTGATAAATATTGATTTAATAAATGTTTAACATTAATTAGTTTTGATACCATTGAATTTGGTTGACTTACTGTATATGATGTAACATTTTTTGTTATTTTAGGTTTTTTATTTTCATCAGCATTCTGATGTTGTTGTTGTTTATAAATTAATTTCGATAAAGATTTTGAATCGATTGGTATTTCAATATTTATTGTTTGTTTTATTATTGTTGTTGGTAAATCATTTTTATCTTGTATACCTTGTAAACAGTTTTCTAACATTGTATTCATTAATTGTGCTATTTGTAATGGTAAATTAGATATACTATCCGAAGCTATTTTTGAATGTTTTGATTGACGTTTAAGTGCTTCTAATAACATTGTACTTGAATTGGAATTTTTATCTTCAATAAACATAAAACCTAATTTAATATCATATTTACTTATCGTTAATGAATAAGTTTCATTATCACGCTCTTGTGTGAGACCATCCGTAAGAATAATAACCATTTTGTGTACAGTAGTATTTGAAGTCGAAACTGTTGATGTTCGGATTGGAAATACTTTTTGTGTAATACGAGCTAAACCAGTTGCTGGATATGTACCTTCATCAAATGTTAATGCTTCTAAAACATATTCATCATCACCATATGTAAAATGATCATTTAAATTTCGACTGCTTCGCTTTGCAAATTGCTTAACGCAGTTGAAGAATTCGCTGTTGTTGAGGATGAAGATGTACCTCCTCTTGTTGTTTGTTTATTTAGCATATCTTGAAGTATTTGATCAACATTCGTGTTTATAGTACGATTATTAGATGATGATTTAAGTAGATTAGATGAATGCGTGTCTGTGCCACCAACTATGACATTATGGTTTTTGATATTCTTTAGCCATTCATCATGCGAGATTAGTTGATCGAACTCATCATTATTTGTTGGTGTTGTCGTTGGTGGTGACGATGGTGAAAATGTTACTTTTGAAGAAGGTTCCAATGGCGAATGATCGATCGATGCATCAGCGCTATGACTAAATGGATCTAAATGTGATAATTTATTTAATGTTAAACTCTTTGATGGTGGTTTTATATCTATATTTTGTGATCGACCGACATCAGTTTGTAATTTTTGTAATATAGATCGTAATTCTGAACTATATTGTAATGCTAATGATGTTAAACATTTTTCAATTCTTGTCAGATCTTTAAATAAAAATTTGACACCATGAATAGAAAATGGTTGAGGTTCTAAAAGTCGTCTGATTACTGTTAATCTTATAAATAAATGGTACCATATTCAACAATTGAATTTGTGAATTTTTTATTTATTGATATTTGACCAAAATTTGGTCGATTATAAAATAATAAATTTGTTGTTATAAATGCATCATACCAATCATCAACTCGTTTATGCAAAATAATGTATGATTCAACTAAATCTTTCACAGATGATTCTAATGATATATTGATAGTAGTAATAGGTGCTTGAGGTGAGTTCAGTTTTGGTCAAATTTTTCAACATTTACTGTGAGATGATCTAAATCATGCTCTGTAAACGGTGATTGTATTGGTGGAACAGCTGTTTGTGCCGATGTCGATGATTGTTGTAGAATTGTTGTATTACCAGTAGGTGATGATTGTGCCTGTCCTGGTGTATTTACAAATACTGGTGGCGTTTGTTGTTTTTGTATTTTTTTGTGAATACAACTGAGAATAGATTCTTGGTTTACAGTTTTAGTAGATATCATTACATCATTTGGAGTATCAAAATCTCGAATATTCGAAGTATAATAGATGGTTTAAAGATTTTTTCATTTTTAATTACACCGATATTAAAGAAAGCTTTTGGTGATATTTCAAGAATAGGTATTTTAAATTCAAGATGATATGGAATGCCTGTGAATATATCACTAGCTTTAAATTGTATGATGGGATGAAAACTACGAAAATCGGTTGGATAATATTGATATTCTTTTGATGATAGAAGTTGTATATATTGTATGTTTGCTGCTGATTTGCCTAAATTTTTAATTGATATATCACATTCAATTAGTTTTATACTTCTTGATATGTTCATCCATAACTGTTCCATATCAACTGATTGTCCAATACGTATTTCTTTTGTGATTTCCGATGGAAAACCTAATTGTGGTAATTGTGATTCACAAAGGAATGTGAGTGTCACACAAGGACGACTAATATTAGTGGAATTTATATCGATGGTAGAAGTTTTTCTAGAAGAAGCATCACTCATGCGAATTTTCACTTGTACTGTTTCTTTTATTCCAAGATTTAACACAAGCGTTTTCGTACTTAAATTTAAGTCACTTGATAAAGATAAAGTATATTCAACTTCGCCATCATTGATATATTCAAGTGATATTGAACGTTCTTCTGATTTGTATAAATCTGTAATTGATAATTGTCCGGATTGATTGTTAATAACTGTTTGTCCTTGATACATAACTGTGAGTTTAGTTTGTCGAACAAAACCAATTACTTTCAATAATTTGAAATATTTAGGTGAATTAATAGCAAGACATATTTCACGATCGATATTTTCCTCTGCATTATTTGGTTTTAATGATACATGTAAATGTGTCGTTGTAGATGGATTCAAATTTAATTGCTCAGTTTGAATTGTTAATACCGATTTCATTGATATTGCTTGTGTTTCTTGTTGTATTTGTGCTACAACATTTAGCGAACATGATAAGGAATTTTTGATATCGAAATGTTTTTCTAGTATTGTTCCATCACAAGGACAATAACCAAAATTAATGGTATCTGTTGATAATTGAACATCTACAACAGCAATGTTTCCATAAACATATAATTCTGTTAATGCTGTCTGATTTTCAGATAAATTGATCAGAAAATTACAAGAATTTTCATTTTCTGTGCTTGGCGGTTTATATAAAATATCAATTTCAGTTATATTCTGTGCTTCTATTGATATCTTTCCAGTTGGTACATCAAACTGGCTATGCGATTCTTTAGGTATTATTTCAATATCAATATCATTTTCTAATGGATTATGAATAATCAATTTTTGTATGATACATCTATGAATATCGATAAGTGCAATACCAAAATCAATCGATGTTTTTAATGGTGCACATTGTATTGTTTGTGTATCTTTTGATCGATACAACCAAATATGTGCATCGCGATCTAATTGTGAATATTGAAATGTATCATTTAATTTTCCTGGATCTAAAATAATTTTCGTTTTAAGCATATTCAGTACTTCTGTACGATTATTACTGACTTGTATTACGATAGATTGTATGTGCATTATTTCGAAGAAGATTATTAACTTTAACTAATTCGAGATTATTTCCCAAAATTTCACATATTTGATCATATTCTTGATTTAATGTTTTAAAATTTCTATCATTTGAAGAATTATTATTGCTCATTGTTAGGATATTTGCCCATCCATAAGCGACTATTAATTGAGCATTTAATAAACATAAAGCAGAAGTATATTGTGACAATTGTTTAAGGGCCAATATATCTGCTTTCGAATGCACTATGATTCATTGGCTTTACGATGGTTTTTGAGGGTTTTACAGCGATTTTTCTGAGACACCCAACATCAAAAACTGATTGATTTTTTATGGTTTTTCCGTGGGAATAACGCTTACATAGGGGAAAAAGTACATCGTTACAAAGTACATAAATTAATCTAGGTTTTTCGGAAAAAACTGTCTAAAAAAATTAATTTTTTTTTCTCAAAAATCCGGCTTTGTTATGTTGTAGGGGTAGGTCTTCTCTACATTTTGACAACATCCCGAGGCCCGTATCATTAAAACTGAAAACAAAAGCTTTGACACACGGATACCTACTTTTTGACCCTTGATGTTACAATGACTCGCGAAAAACTCAATATTATGAGCTTAAATTTTTACTGAGAACTATCGATGGTCAGATACATATTCAATAAAATTTTCAGTAAGATTGAGTGTTCTGGAAAAAAAATTTTTAGAGGGGGGGGCCCTTAACACTTTCTGCAATGCATTGTCGACTATTGATAAAAGCGTTTTGCATTTTACTTGACCATACGAATTGAATATCGCTACGACTATCGATTAATTCATTCTGGATTATTGTTTGATTTATTGTGGAAAATTCATCTGCTAAATGGCCAAAACTTCGAAAACATTGTTTTATTGTATCAGCATGCGGTAACCGTTTATGAAAATTAATTATTTCAACGACATTTATCAAATTATTCGCATTTACTATATCATCAGTTTTAAGACTTTTAATCATTTCACCAATTTTTCTATTTAAACTAACAAGAATTTTTGTACTACGTAAATCATTGATTTGTTTTTCTTCGTCATTACTTTTATGATGAGCAGACAAAGCTGGTTCTAATTCCTTTGTTTGTTGTTCTAATTGAGTCGATGTTATTGTGTTGGAATTGGGCAAGTTATCGAATATACCATCAACTGTATAAAATTTTTTATCTGAGCGTTGAAATCGAATTTTGAAATATGGTTGTAATTAAACGGTTGTTTTATTCAAACAATTTGACCATTTTATTAGCTTTGTTGACAATTCTTCTCCAAGTTGAATTCTGATATATTCAATTGAATTTGTCTTTACAGCGAAATCCCAACTATTAGATAGAGTATTATAAATTTTTAATTGAACTTTAAAACCATTTGATGGATTTTTATCTTGTTTTATGAAATAAATAATTATACGTGATAGAGAAATTGTAACTTGTAACTCAAAACATTCAGAAGATGATGAATATTTGTTACGATTTAATGGTTCAAGTCCTAACATATTTTCATGTTTATAATGTAATTTTATCAAATTATTCAAATAGCACTGTGGTGAAATAGTGTGAATCAATAGATGACCTTGTTGACGTTGTTGCATATAACAATGAATATTTTCATTGAGTAAATCATTAAATATCATATTGAAGACTTTTATGTGATCACTCAATTCTAACGGTGGTTGTTCGTTACAGAAGAAGTTGAAAAGGGATTTAAATTTATTCAATACTTTTTTAACAACTGAAAAACTAATAACATTTCTTGTACGACGAATTCTAATAAATTGGTTGCATGCATTACGCCAGTCGAATTCGAAGCGTGTTATCTTTTCTCCTGTCAAATATAATTGACTATTGATATTACGTAACTCATTTATTGAATTTTATATATCTTGATTCGTAATAATCAATAAGTTATTATATATATTATGTTTCAATTGACGAATACGGTCAAGTAGATTAAACGTAATTGTTGTGGCACTGCTCATTGCACTGTTCAATTTTATGTGTGACATGCATGGTTCAAATAAAACTTTTTCACCTTTTTCATAAACTTCTACTATAGATTGATATAATTTTGATATAAGTACAAAATCCATGTGTTCCATTAATATATTTGTCAACGTTACTTCCATATTATCTGAACCACCGATTGTAAGAAAATAAATAATTTCATGAAAATTTAATTCATGTTGAATCTTATTTTTTTCCGATTTATTATTTAAAATAATATTTTTAGCTTCAATTATTTGTTGTATATCGGCTAAAATCAAATCTTGTGAATCTAATGATATATAACTTTTAGATTTTATATAATTAAATTAAATTTTATTATGTAAATGATATTTTCTTGGTTTAATAATCCCATGAAGAAATTCTTTCAATGTCAATTGCCATCTATTTAAAAGATTTTTACAGAATTTTTTTAATCCTGGACGATTATCAATTAATATAGTACATAATCTATCAACTTTTTCTGATATTGATTCTATTAATGATTTAGCTCTATTTTGAAAATCAATATGTATACTTAATGTTGTTCATGATTGTTGCATGCACTGATCTAAAAAATTTGTTTCATCAATTATTTCAAATTCAATTATATATTGAAAGTCTTGACATAATGAAAATAATATTTCATATTCAGTGGAAGAAATTGATTTGGATAGATTACCACTAAGTGTATCAATTGTATGCCACATTTGTGTGATCATATATCCAGGTGATAATACTAAATTTTTTAATATTTTTATCGATTGACTAACACCATCTACGAGACCAAATGGATTTGTACTATACGAAAAAGCCATATATATTGTTTGTAGTAATAGAGATTTTGTACTTGTTTGTAATCGTAATTCAAATCGTTCAAGTAATTTGAGTAATCCTATTTCAGTTCCTGGTAAACGATAATCAATATTGTTTTTAATGATTTTAATTAATTCATCCATTGGTTCCAATGCTTCTCGTTGTATTTGTAAATAACGACATCCAGTCATAAGTATGATGATCGTACTGATTTTTGTTGTTTACCAGTTAAAAATGTTTCTATATTTGTAATATTAAGCATCACACGTTGATGTATATCATAAGCTAATCGTTTTATATCATCAATACTATTTGTATTTGATTGAATACTTCTAATAAATGTATGACACCGTTCATATGCCCAATTACCTAAATTACAAAGTATTTCTTTGTTATTATTTTCTGTATATTGTTTCATTAGATCAGTTATTAACATTTTTGAATATGTTTGCCAACTTTTAAGAGAATTTGTCAAGGAAGTAATTGATATTTGTATTAAATCACAATAATATGATAAATAGTCTTTCATTGGATCATTTTCGGCTAGTTGTGTACTGTGATTTAATATTTCGTCAAGAGTTTCTTTTATTTTTTGTATAGTATCATCAAGCTGTTGTATATCTTCATTTCTTAGTAAGGAAGTATTGCAATTGAATGTTTGTAGTAACAGTTTTTTACCAATATCAAATGAAATATTTAATAGTTTTGTTGAATATTGACTTTGTGATGTGTATGTATTTGTTTCAACACTATCCTCTATTGAACTATTTGTGGTCATTTGTGATGTCAGTTGTATACATGACATGTTTCTATATATTTTTTAATTTGTTGAAAATATGTTAGTAAATGATGCATCCATTTATCTTGTTCAGCTTGTTGTTGTTTCGAAGTATTGTTCATTGCTGTTGCTAATTCATTTTCATTTTTCTCTATTTTCTGTTGTTGTTTGTTCAATTCTTCAGCGAGTCGTTCTTGCTCACTAGCACATTTTTGTAATTCCGATTCAGCTAATTTTTTATGCTCTATAGTTGCAGTATTGAAATAGACATTAGCATCTCCGACTTTCATTTTTGCTTTTTTTAATTGTTCTTCTAAATCTAAATATTTGATATGTAATTCATTATGTTTATTTTTTAATTCAATCACTTCTTGTTCAGCACTTTTTTGTCCACTTAGTTTCAATAAATTCTTTTGAAAATCTCGTAAACATGCTGCTGACCAATCTGTTAATATTAATAATGATAATGATAAAGTAATATGAAACGGAAATAAATCATATACACCTATTGAAATTTTTATTAACATACTTAATTGTATTGTTGGATCAGTACATAGATTTAAAATTTTTTGTACAAAAGCAATGACTGCTAGGCCTATGAAATGGATGTGTTTTTGTTTATCAAATAATGGAATATTACTATCTTCATAAACAAATTGATGTAAACCAATATGAATGGTAGATGAAAATTCCACTAATATTAGTCGTCCTTGTGTGACACTCC